ATTTTGAGAATGCCAGAGGCACTTACTAGATTGCAGGTCCTCTTCGTCTTCTGGACCAAAACCGAGGTCTTGAAGGGTGTCATTTGTGGATGGCACATTTGCCTCGGACGGTGCAGATTTCACGTCGTTTTGCTAAAAAAATTAAGAAATAAAATCTTTCGAATATTTACTGTTTAGCTCAGACTAGGAAGTGAAACATATAAAAAAGTATTTTGCAACTCACAATGTCGTCGTCGAATTGTTTTATGGAGTTCATATATTTCAGATGCTTATTTTCTTCTTCTAAAGTGGCGACACGCTGGAAAGAAAAGAAAAACGTTACATGTTCAGAAAACGAAAAACTAGTAGCTCTAAACGGGTAACACGAGCCTGTTCGGAGGTCTGGAGCTTAATCTGCGTAGAGCTCAGCTCGTCACGTAGCCATGCGTTTTCCTGACAGAGGCGACGTCGTTGAGCCTGAAAATGCGAATACAAACTAAACTAAATATAAGAGTTGTACCGTAAGAAAAAACATCATCATCTAAATGAAGAGAGGGAGGAGCTGTTGACTCACCTGGTACTTCTGTTTTTCCGCTTCCAAATTGTTCAAATGAGACATTATCGACACCATCATCTATAAATAGGACAATACTATTGTCAAGCTCAATTTAATATTAGGCCAACAGTTACAGGCAACGATGAAATTCTACCGTGACTTCCTCGAGTCCACTAGATATACTCGTTACGTTGTCTGAGATCTGGTGGTGTTTTTCGCGAGGCATCGGCGCTTCATCTTCACTGATTCCTAAAATGGTTACATATCCTCGAGGCATGAATTCCCAAATAGCTTGCAGAAAATACAAAGCTTGAAGAACACTCGAGGATATGTAACCATTGTAGGAATCAGTGTGAAGATGAAGCGCCGATGCCTCGCGAAAAACACCACCAGATCTCAGACAACGTAACGAGTATATCTAGTGGACTCGAGGAAGTCACGGTAGAATTTCATCGTTGCCTGTAGCTGTTGGCCTAATATTAAATTGAGGCTTGAACAATAGTATTGTCCTATTTATAGATGATGGTGTCGATAATGTCTCATTTGAACAATTTGGAAGCGGAAAAACAAAAGTACCAGGTGAGTCAACAGCTCCTCCTCTCCAATTGAATTAGATGATGTTTTTCTATAGTATAGCTTTTATATTTTAGTTTGTAAGTCGCATTTTCAGGCTCAACGACACGTCGCCTCTGTCAGGAAAACGCATGGCTACGTGACGAGCTGAGCTCTACGCAGATTAAGCTCCAGACCTCCGAGCAGGCTCGTGTTACCCGTTTAAGAGCTACTAGTTTTTTCGTTTTCTGAACATGTAATTTTTTTCTTTTTCCAGCGTGTCGCCACTTTAGAAGAAGAAAATAAGCATCTGAAATATATGAACTCCATAAAACAATTCGACGACGACATTGTGAGTTGCAAAATACTTTTTTATATGTTTCACTTCCTAGTTCTGAGCTAAACAGTATAAGATATTTCGAAAGATTTTATGGCTGGAAAATTTTTTTTTAGCAAAACGACCGTGAAATCTGCACCATCCGAGGCCAAATGCTGCCATCACAAATGAGACACCCATTCAAGTACCTTGCGGGTTTGGTCCAGGAAGACGAAAGCAGGACCGGCAATCTAAGTAAGGATTGCCTCTGCATTCTTCAAAATACCATGGACGTCAGGTGACTGCCTGGTAAAGTTTTACTAAGAAGTGAATGCCATCGGTTATTCCTCGGCCTTCAAATGCCCTACTCTGCTCTTTCGTGCGGAATATCTACTTTTCTCTCTGAAAATATCGTAAAACAGGGTTTTCTTAAGTGGTCGCATCAGCGTAATATTGAAACTCAGAATTGTAGCATTGATTAGTTAATGGCCCTTTCTCATCCGCGGTTGCTACGCTTTAGCTCCTTTTCGCCAGAATGTGATCTTTTGTCCTTGTTGCACATGTACCGCTCTTGCAGATGACCAACCATGAACTAACTACATCTGCACCCCCTTACGCGCCGTACTCTAAGCTTACAGTAGTATCAAATAATTACTAATATGATGTAAAACAAGAGGAAAGGATTCATCTAGCTAGTCAAGTACACTCGTAAGGGAATGGTGCAGCGTCTTAGGACTGCTGCCTAACCACAAGGGCGCACATGGTTAGCACATTGTCTGCGGAAGCCTAATAAATCACTTCTCCAAATTCCAAATCACCTATTTATTATTGGGTTGTTGAGATGAAGAATGAACAGGGCTATTGCTCTTCGTGCGATTACGATAGCAGTGTGGAATAGAATCTTTGCAGAGGCACGCTTTGTAGCGAGGAAGCATTTCTCTCTGGAATTACAGTGATTTTCTTCTAATTGTGGTGCTTCGTTTAGGTCAGTTCGCTCAGCCAACTCCGGCTCATTCAATGGCAGCTTCAGCTTCTGTTGGCTATGAGATTCCAGCTCGTCTTCGTACTTTGCACAATCTGGTAAAACTTCGTTCCTCAAGTGCTATGTATATATTTCTGACCATGTGGTATAAAGTATTGGTCGTTTCGCTCGCACTACATTCCGCTCGAATAACTTCCCCAATTACAAACCTGAATTCAGTACCATATGCATTTGACCCTCTTGTTATACGAGGTGTTATCTGTGAGTTAGGTCGTTGTTGAAGTGCGAATTTTGCAGTATTGAATGATTGTCTGTTGTCTGTAGCGGGGAATGCCACTGACTTGTTATTTAGCGTGGGGTGCACTATTTGAGTTCTTTCGCCTTCCCTTACTCACGACTACTACCACACTATTATCCTCTTTAATATTTATGAGTTTTACTGCTTTTGACTTTTGTGTGGTTTTATAGGGTGATCCAGTACGCATCGCAAGGCCGCTATGAAGTAGCCGTCCCGCTCTGTAAGCAAGCTCTCGAAGACCTCGAAAAGACTAGCGGTCACGACCATCCTGACGTGGCTACGATGCTCAACATTCTCGCACTTGTTTACAGGTGGATTGATTCGGCCTTGCTATACGAAGTTATTACGAGCAGTTAATCAGCCGATTCTGGAATTTGTCCACGTATTGCAAATGTGTAACTTGCAGGGATCAAAACAAGTACAAGGAGGCAGCTAATCTTCTCAACGAGGCTCTCGCTATTCGCGAGAAGTGCCTAGGAGAGAATCACTCTGCTGTGAGTCTTTTTTCTTTGATATAACTTTTTTGGATTTAAAATTGCCATAGAAAAGTGTTTGGTAGAGCGGCTACTTAACTATGGTGTTCTGCTAGGACAGAAGTCGCCAATTTATGTTTCAATTCGAAATACTTAGCTTATGCTCCTTTCGCACTTCTTCTTCGCACTTTATTCTTCCGTTAAAAGTTTATAAGCCCAGTAAATCGAGCAGTTTTTCAAAAGGCATTATATCGAATGAATTTGTCGATGATTTTCATATGAATCAAAATTCAGGTTGCCGCTACGTTGAACAATTTGGCGGTTCTGTATGGAAAGCGTGGCAAATTCAAGGATGCCGAACCACTGTGCAAACGTGCTCTCGAAATTAGGGAGAAGGTTTGTGCAGCCATGTTATTCTCAGTGTCGTTGTAGATGTGACTCTGCAATCCACGTTTTTCTGATACCTATTGATATCGAAAACAGTTCAATATTGGATTTAGCCGAACCTCTGTGCTTTTGTATGTTAATATGGAAAAGTTATTCGAGTTTACAGACATTGTAGAAGAGTTTATTAGAAGCCCAAGTGTTCCAGGAGGTCTATCTATAGTAATTTTATTGGGTACTTCTCGCGTGAACGTGATTCTTTAAATAGAAAGTGTTAAAGCTTCCCTAGTTTTCCCATTGCAATGCTTGGTACAGTATGTCCCCTAACAAATGTGTAATAAGAGGAGCAGGCTCTAGGAGTTCAATGCAGCCAATAATCAAGCTTTGTGATTACAATCAGGTCATACATATGATCTCAAAGAATAGGAGTAAATGCTCTAAGGGTCTTGCAGGAGTCACTTACTTCTCACATTCTCCTCTTCTCTCATTTCGCTTTCTCCATATGCATGTTCTTCCAGGTGCTTGGTCATGATAACCCTGATGTCGCTAAGCAGCTAAATAATTTGGCACTTCTTTGCCAGAACCAAGGAAAATATGAAGAAGTCGAGCAGTATTACAAGTAAGTGCAATGATTTAATTTTTTTGCCGACTTCAATATTCAACGTGGAATGATGTCTTTCTAGACGTGCATTGGAAATCTATGAAAGCAAATTAGGACCTGATGATCCGAATGTCGCGAAGACTAAAAACAATCTTTCTTCGGCGTACTTGAAACAGGGCAAATATAAGGTATGCGTGGTTAGCTTTCCTTTACGTTCTCTTTCTTCGGAAGTCCTGACTATTAGTACTTGATATTTTATGATTGGGACCTTAATAGATTTTTACCTGCATTTTTCTCCTCTCATAGAGTTATGCCAGGTCATAATTTTTCTTTAGCGCCGATTTGACGGCAGTATGATAACTATTATAATGCCGAACATAGTCTCTGTTTTTATTACGTTTAGCGGTCCATCGGTCCCTTTTATGATTTCCATATGGGCCGTGCAATAGGCATTCATGTGCAGTCATGTGGTGTCGTTACCATCAATATGCATTGGCTCCATTGTGATCTTTTCGGTTAGTGGAGTAGCCAGCAACTGAAGTGTTCGCAAAAAATATTGGTCAAATATTGTTTAGTATTTCAACAGAAAAGGATCGATTAAGTCAGATTGCAGTTCTTCGCAGTCTTTTGCCATTACGCTTTCTAATTACATGCAGGATTATGTGCGGGCGAAGCGTTGTTGAGCATTCACGATTTGTTTACGAATGTCTTTCTAATTGACTTTGACGCGCAGCACACATGTCTCCCCATCCCGTTTAGCTCTTCGTAGTGATGCACGCATGCACTGATTGCCTTTGCCCAACCCATTCCCAACTCCACTCGTTCCTCGACTACTCAGCAATGCATTTTTACTTCAGTAGCGCTCAGAACTCAAGTTTTTACGCAGAATTGCTAGGTTTCCATATCATCAAATTGCCTTTCAGGAAGCGGAAGAGCTCTACAAGCAGATTCTCACCCGAGCACACGAACGTGAATTTGGCAAGGTATGTGATTGCAGTATAGGTCAGATGTGGTGCATGTTTCATAACCGCTCGTGCGTCTATTTCCATTGAGCGCAAAACTTCTTTTCAGATTGGAGAGGACAACAAACCAATTTGGCAGATCGCCGAAGATCGTGAGGAAATCAAACAAAAAGGCGGGGCTGATACGGGTCCGATTGCTTACCACGATCACGGTGGCTGGCACAAGGCTGCCAAGGTTGACAGGTTGGTCGTCTGGCAAACTAATGTGTGGTTGCACAAATTCATATTCTGCGTTAAAATTTATCTGTGGTGATCATCATTTAGTCCAACCGTGACGACGACACTCAAGAACTTGGGTGCTCTATATAGGCGCCAAGGCAAGTATGAAGCTGCTGAAACACTGGAGGATGTTGCTTTGAGAGCTAAGAAACAAGTAAGTGTTATTCACAGTTATCTAAACTGAAGTGTAACTGTTGAAAAGATTTCCTATCCTACTGAATTGGGCATTTTTTCTCCATTTGAGAAACCCAGTCAGTGTTTGCTGCCTCTATAACTTATAGTTTTATCTTCTTTAATTCTTTGTGTGAATAATAGTTGACGCTGATGCGGTCATAACTCCTAAGCAGTGAACATTTGGCGTTTACCGCTTCTTCCTGCTGCCTAATTGTATGCGATATGTCTCTTCACCAAGCGCTGTGTCGTGAAGAAATTGCGTACTGTACGCAGAAAGTTTGTTTGCTATGTTGTAGGCGCAGTATGCAGCGCAGCATGAGCGAATGAATAAGCTACTCGGATGTAGTACACGAATACAGGTCTGTTTTGCAAGATGGCCTCTAGTCGTATCGTATTTGTAGTGAAATGGTTGCACCATCTATCTAGAAGTTCGATGCCGTCGAAGCTATTCGTTTCTGTTTTGTGTGGGGTAGTAAAGCATACAGAGTTGGTCATAGTAGCTGGCAGGCAGTTTGTTCGTTTTTTTTAAATCGTCTTGAACCTCATTTCTAGTTGTAATTGTTGCTGTCTGGATTTATAAGAAAGGCACTCGCCGAAGGTGTTATGACCGCTCTGATTGATGTATTGTCTGTCTCATACCTTACCCGTTCGTGAGACCAACTCGCAACTAGCTAGCATAACTGAACAATTGTGAAGCAGATTGAATCTCCTTATTTGACGAAGTTCTCTCTCACTCGATTGTTAAATACAACCGGAATTGGAGTTGTGCAAACTTATCGAGACAGACTATACATTCGCATTTATTCGGAATGCCCGCTTGATAAGAGTGTACTCAAGCCTGCATGTCATTTTTCTTTTCGAATCACTCGCAATCCTTCATTTTGCTTTCTATTGTGCAAAAATCTGAAACTACGCGCGCGACGTCGCTGCGTCACGCGTGCTCATTCGATGTCACGAATGGTCGTATGTGGAGAAGGCGGCGTCGTGCAGCGTGTAGTGCGACGTTCTGTGTTAGTGATGTGTGTCAGCTTCTACAGCAGGAGCGTTTTGGATTGCAGAGATATTCATGACTTCATCGCATATCTCGCATGACAACGAGCCATTCGTCGTCGGGTCTGAAGTCGAAGCTGATGAACGCACTCGGTTTCAATCAATAATCATCGTGGGCGCGGCTACCACCAGCCTCACGGGTTACTGTCTCCTATCTCGCTTCTGTGCCTGCTGTCCATTCTAAAGGTACATTCTACTCGTGGGCCATTGCTCGTTGTATGTAGTTTATTGTAAATTATCGTGTTGTTGTGTTTTATAATTTGGGTTTCTCTGGCAAGAGAAGATATGCAACAAGCCTTTAATCCCCTTATTCACTATCGAGTAGAAGCTCTCAGTTCGCCATAAAAAAACATTTCTTACAATAATCGAATTCGTTTATTCGCCTACGAATCTTTTTTGTCAGTTGTCCAATTTCGCTCGCCGAAACGGTGCGATTTCTCGAGATTAATCTACAGTCAGAGTCTAAACTCACTAGTATTTCTTGATCCCCGTCTCTTATTCAACCAAACAACTGTGATAGTTCCTGGTTCTACTACAATGAATAATAATAAATAAATCCAAGTCGTCGTGTTGTGCTTGTGTTGTGATTATCAGATATATTAGACATGTGAGAAATACTCAGCGTGAGCGTAAGAGTCTCTCGTAACCTTGTATATGAATATGTGTACCCCATGTTCAGAGGGAG